GAGGAATTCCATGATGCAAATTATTGAACGTCTTTAAGAACATATATTTTACTTTATGAACACATATTTTTATTTTTTTTTAATGAAAATTTTGTGTTTATGAATATGTATTTAACTTTTTATGAATATATATTTAACTTTTATGAACAATTAATTATCTTTATGAACATAATATATTTCGTTGTTATGAACAATTATTTGTTTTTTTGAACATATATACATTTTTAAGAAGAAATATTTGTTTTATGAACAATTATTTATGTTTTATGCATATATATATTTTATTTTATGAAGACATATTTTGATTTTTTGAGTATATATTTTGCTTTTATGAACATATATTCGTTTTTACGAACAATTATTTAACTTTTTGAACATAATATTATATTTTATTTTTTGTGAATATTGCAACGTTTGACACGCCATACATTATACCTGTGTTCTTTACAGAATTGCTAAATTTTTATAAGTTTGGTGTCATAATTTATATTATATGTTACAATATTAAGATTTTTGAGAAAAAAAATCAGGGTGGTGCGATACAAAATATTTATCCTCGTATCTATGATGAGTTGATCTAGTAAGTTCTATAAAGGTCAAGAAGATTGTTTTTTGTCCGTTCACTCTGATTTTCTCAACCAACAGTATGAACTGCAATGAATCCTACAAATGCACAACTTCGTGAGCAGTAGTATTCAATAAACAACTGTGACTGCCTAAGCCATTTTTATGTCATGGGCGTTTCTAGGATGTTTGAAAGAGGGGACGTAGAATAAAATCTTTCTGGACCTTTTTTTTGCTAAAAAACATAAAATAATTATGAAATGCACTTATGTAACGGTTCCTGACTTGGAGCATGCATATTTTATAGTTTTTTTTTGTTTTTTTAAAGGGGGAGCGTACGCCCATTACGCCCTCACCTGGACCCGCCCCTGTATGTGGTAGTCCTACGACCTAAAAATAAAAAGATTTTGTAATTGGAGTCATCATGTTAGAGGCTTAACTGTGAAAGTCTTTTATTTTGCGTTTTACTTTAAAGACTAATGATCTAGATATATTGCAGCGGACCGAGGGTTGGTAGCGTTTTTATTTGTGTATATGCCTGGTATCTCACATACTGTGACTGCTATGCAACAGCTAACATATAAATACTGGATTTCTGTTAAACAGGTGTCTATTCAATAAACATACAGCTCAACTGCCGCCGTCGTCTTGTTTTTATTGTAATGAATAGCAAAAAAGGGGGGTAGGTGATAGCCTAACCTAGCTGTAGAATGAGAGCCTGGCGTTTCAATAAATACGAAGCTGTGTCTCGAAATAAATATGTCAAAATTTAATAAGTTAGACTGACAACGAGATATACAGCATAACATATTCATATTATTTACATAATCAAAAAGACTAAAAAAAAAGGGGGGGGGGGGGGGGGGGGGTTGTTGTAGCTCTGGTTCAAATATAGGGTAAAAAATGAAAACAACACGTTTTAAATTTGATGCGTCCGAAGCGCTTTTCTGGATTTACCTTCATCAGGAACGTTCAAAGCCGAATATTTGAAGCCAATAGTGTATAAGAACCAAATCATTTGAAGAGCTATATAACCAAAAAGGACCTAAAATTATAGCCAAATCATCTAAGGCCAACTTTGCCTTACGCAGCTGAAGTTACATGGACTTATAATAACCAATAAATTAATACATTTACGCAGAATTTATAGAAGAAATCAACAATTTATATACTAGTTAAAATAGTTTCCGCGGTTTTCCGGAAATGGCGGAACTAAAAATTGCTATGAACTTTCTTATTTTAGCTAGCGTTAAACTAATGAGATTTTGAAATAAATAGGTCTAGATAATATAAATATTATGATAGTCTAAATGTCGAAATTCTAATTAGAACCTAACCTTAACGAAATTACAGGATGAATTGTTAAATGCTACATGTCTGGGAGATTTATGATCGTTGAGGCCGGTGTAACAACAACAATGAACCAGAGAATCATGATATTTTGGTCTCAACCGCAAAATATATGTACAACTACTTCAATTAAATAGGTGATCTTACAAATGCCACAAAAATTAGACAGGTTATAAAAATGTATACTACTAAGATTATTCACCCTTTATTATTTACCTTTCAAAATAGTAAGATTTAAAATTTGTAAGAGAATTTAGAAAACCATCCATAAAATAGAAATGAATCAAAGTACTGAAGTACTGAACATCGGATGACCGCAGGTTCTTGTGGATGGTCAAAAGCACATGTCACAGAAACAGATCACATCTCTATACCCTAAACTGAGGTTAATTTACAGAGATTTTTTTTTCTTATACAAGTTCGTGCTTGGATGATGAATAAATGACAGGAAATTCAACCTCACCGTAATAACTATTATATTGTAGTGATACAAATCAGTATACCTTAGACTATTATACTAATATAATAATAGTTCCAGAGAATACACTGGTTTGTTGTTATATATTATATTAATATTACGGTTGCATGTATATATAATTGTATATCATACTATTCTACTATTATTATAGTGTAATGCAAGTGCATGGTGGACACTCTTCTGTAAAAAAAAATCAAAGTCTTAAAGGCTGTAAAAGCAATTGCTGCCATGTTAATGTTTTGTGGACTTTTATTTTTCATCCATATATATAAGAATTAAACCTGACAGGACAGGAGTGTTGACTAGTGAGAAGCAAGACGGTTTTAACTTTATATCAATATAAGACTTTAGCAGGAAATCATTTTAAATATGTTTTATATTTCACAAGGAGACAACAAGTTTACCAGGCTAAAGTTGGGGTTAATTATACATGTGCTGAAACATATAACTAAAAAAAAATCATTATGGATTATCCCCTGGTAGTGTTTGTAACTGGGCAATAATTTCCTTCATTGATTTAATTTTAACCATTTTCATAATTAATTTAAATTAACCATTCAGTTAAAACATTTCAACTTTCCAGACGCAAATGTTGAAAAACGGGACAGAAATAAAATATCTTACAAGACATAAACATGTAAAAAATAAATATATATTTCAGCTTACTAAAAATATTTTCATAATGTTACTTTGACGTCATTTCTTAAAACTAAGTCCCAAACATAATTGCTCAGTTGACTTGTGTCATCCTCATGCGATACGAGATAACTATAATTCTGATGCAATCCCGAAAAGGGGGGTCATCACAAACAAACATGACATTAAATTGTCATTATACGAACTAGAACAAACAGCTCTATGTTGCTTTGATATTTATCAATTTTCAGGAAACATGTGAAATAAATTTCAGGTCCATTTCATTATAGTGCCTAACAAGATTGTGTGAGGTAGACGAAATTGACCTTAAAACGATCGTATTGTCTTTTGATGTCCAAAAATAGGCAGATCGGACATATAAGGACTTTATCTAATGACTACATAAATTTGGGATTTATTATTATTATAATATTCTAATGAAACTGAAAATTGTATTTTTTTTTAGGATAAACAACAATTTTTCCTGGCGTAGCCGTGCATAAATGTTATTCTGCATTTATCTTCGAAAAATGGCGTATTTAATGGAATAGAACGTTAATACAGTAAACATTCTCTTTTTTCTCCGCAATAGGCTATCAAAAATAATTTATCTAATGTGTATGTGGAAAATTATGTGAAAAGATAAAAAGTGGCAATTGTTACCTTTCATACCTTAAGTTTCATTCATCTGATTCTGACCAATGCTTATATATACTAAATATCTATTTATATATATGCCGCTATTATTGTTGTTGTTACCAATAATGTAAATCAATTGTATCTGATTTTATGCCCTTTATGGGCCCTGTAATTTGGGAAATAAAAAAAAATATCTATTCATTGATAAAACATAATATGGACTGGTCCAGTGTCCAGTTTGCAGGTCATTTAATTTTCTGTACACATTCATGCACGCTCTGATTTAATCAATATACTCGTACGAAAAAGCATGAACAGTTTGAAGGTAATCTAATAATAACTTAATCCAATCAAATTGCATAAGATTCAATAACAATGTCAAGTCCACATCATAATGAGTAATAGAGGTAAACTGGGTAGGGAGAAAATGACAGATATTTCAAGTTAATATTTATGCAATAACGAATTAAAATTTGTCAACCAAAAGTTTTGCTACAATTTCAAAAACATGTCGTTCTGTATGGGTATAGTTTTCGGATCTTTCATTAGCGTATTTAAGGCTATAAAAAGTTTGGGCTTCAAAAGTTCACACAATTATTGACTTTATACAGAAAATTCGTCCTTGTAAAACATTTAATAGTTCACAAATGATACGCGATTTTAAAGTAAAATTATTTCTTAAAACACTGCAAAAAATTTCATTCATATTGATAAAGTGGTATCGTCATAAAGTGCGTTGAAATGAACAGTGGTATAGCAAACATCGAATTCCCTCACAAAATGTTATCACACACTACAGTAAGGGGAGTCAGTTAAGTTTGTCTATTTTTAGATACTATACAGGTAATCATTTGACACTGAAATGATTCCATTTTTTTGATGAAACATCGTACGAACGGAGAACGGAATCGCAGGTATAAAAATGCACTTTTTTCCCTTGTAATGACCGCGGATCTATAATTTTTATAGATCGGTTGAAATCCCAAAACTAATTTGCATAATGGAAATTTAGGCGATAGCAATACATCGGAATGACCTCAAGGTCATCCTCTGTAATAAAAATTGAATAATTAGGAATTACGGAACCGTAACAATATGAAGAGGGAGGTTTCGGTGCACATTGAACTGGTTCAACCCCTGCATATTGTTTGCCTTTGCCAAGTTTGGCTGTCGCTATTATTTGTCTTTCTTTTTACTTCTTTTTTTCCCGGAGGTAGTTGGGGTCTGTTAGTAATAATAAATTTTGAAATTTCTGCAAACCCCTTATAATAATAGGGGATATTTAACAGTCAATGAATATATATATATATATACAAACTGAGACTATTACTTTGATTATTAAGTTTATTTTGTGTATTTTTTAAAATATCATATCACAAACGTAAGCTTTTATCATACAGCAGCTATTGTATCTGAAATGTATATATATAAATATCAATTAAAACAAATTCTTACAATGGAATCGTTCGCACTGATTCACTAATCAAAAAGTTTATATAAACTAGAAAAAAACACGCGCGAACGCGGCTTGAAAACTACTTGAAATGTTTAATGTGATACACAGCTTGGGTTGGTGTTTCTCAACTGTTTTTATGCACTGATGCATTATGTTTTTATTAGTTTGTCAGTTCTTCTTCCATAGGAGTTTGAATGTCCAATTAGTAGCTTCTGTCTCGGTGTTACACATGTGCTCCTAGAACGGAGGAAATAACTCAGAGAAAATTAGAAGACAACCTAGAACACTGATGAGAAAAAACTTTTCTCAGTGGTGCTAGTTTGTAGTATTTCTTTTTTTTTTCTCGAGTCAAGTTCTGTCTCTGTGTGATACGGGTGCTCCAAGAACGGAGGAAATAACTCAGAGAAGAAGAAGACAATCTAGAACTCTCTGACGATTTAAAACATTTCTTCAGTGGTGCGAGTTTGTAGTATTTTTTTTTCGAGTGTTGCGAGTTCTGTCTCTGTGTGACACGGGTGCTCCGAGAAGGAGGAATTTACTAAGAGAAGAAGAAAACAATTTAATGATTAAACACATTTCTTCGAGTTTGTTATATTTCTTTTTTTTGAGTGATGCAAGTTGTAATAATTAGTGAGAGTGTTTGAGTGGTGCGAGTTGGCTGTGGGCCGAGTTGTCGGGCAGTACGTCGACTGAGCATGCGCAAAAGCGTATAAGTCACGGATCGATAACGTCTCCGAATTTGGATATTTTTCAAAAATTGGCGTTTTCTGAGGAAAAAAGATTGTTTGAAAGACAAATTTAGGAAGTACAAAACACTACATTTATACGTCATATCACAAATATGTCCGACTTAGTTTGGTTTCAGAGGAGTTGCGGCTTAATGAAATCGGTCTCTTCCTTTAGGGGGCACGGTAGTATTTCCTGGCCCATAGGGATAATGATAGCCTTTTTAGAATTTTCACCACTTTCTGACACTGCCCCAAATTCTACATACACAGTTAACTGAAGTACTTTCATTATAATATTCAGAAATGAATTTGAATATGTATCATGATCGTTTACGTTTTTTGCTATCTTTATAAACCTAAGTCCACTAGTGCTTTTAGGTCTTTTATCATGCAGTGAATACAAAATTCTCAAAAATTCTCAAAAATTCATTTTCACCTGCATGTAAAATTATTCATATTTTTCTACGCCTGATTCATCCCTCAGTTTGGGAAAGTATGTTCAGTCGATACTTTATTTTTTGTCCAATCACGCTGTTCAGATACATTGACTTAAGTAGGGTACACAAAAGAGCAACCTAAATTCCGGAATGTAAATACTACCGTGCCACCTTAAGAAGTATGGATATACAGATAGTCGTTTAAAAGAGCTTAAGCTCATCTTATTGTTGATTGTACATATATGCTGACTCTAAATAAAATTCATTTATTTACTTACAGATAGATATAGGCCAGGAAACAGGATAAAAAAGGGGCAAATCCCTTCCCCTCAAAATATTTGACTAGATTTTTTCTCGTAGAAATAAGGCTCTAAAATTTAAAATCAGTTGTATATGTTTAACCCTGCCGGATTTTTGCGCCTGTCACAAGTCAGGAACCTCTGACCTTTTTTAGTCTTGTGTGATCTTTAATTTTGGTTCATTTATATGTTTCGGAGTTTAGAGTGGCGTCCATTTTCGCTGAACTAGTATACATTATTGTTTAGGGGCCAGCTGATGCTCGCCTCCGGGTACGGGAGTTTTTCTCGCTGTGTTGAAGACCTATTGGTGGGCTTGAGCTGTTTCTGCTCTTTGTTCATGTCGTTGTCTCTTTGACACATTCCCCGTTTCCATTCTCAATTTTATTAATAAACTGTTGACACAGAGATATGTCTCGGCTGTATGTAATTTTAGATGTGCCAATGCTGATTCAACTGCATACCAAATATCATTATTTTATCATTTTTGATTCTTTTTAAACTGACCTAAACATAAACTTTAACTTGTAAACTATGCAAAAGTTTAAAATTTAATAGACCATGACGTGTCCAAGTAAACTATGCAAAAGTTTTAAATTTAATAGACCATGACGGGTCCAAATAATCTCGATGGAAATAAGATTTGCCAATGCTTGTACAACTGCATACCAAATATCTTTGTATTATCATAAGTGGTTCCTCTTCAACAGTCCTAATCACAAGCTTTAACATGTAAACTATCATAATGCATTTATTTAAAGTCAATAGACAATGACTGAAGAGTCGGGCCAAATGATAATACAACAACTTACCAACTACCAATTACTTACCATTAGTTGTTCCCCTTAAACTGACCTAATCACAAACGTTAATACGCCAGGCATTAAAACCCTTTCTAAAGTGGCATGTCTATTTAGTTGTGCGGGAGGTATAAATGTAGTCACACCCCGTCGGAAAGGGGACTCTTATCCGATGCATCTTGTCGGGTTAGTGCTACGCATTGTGTGTCATAAAGAACCCTTGCAGTAAATCTATGAGCAGTCCGTATACGTGGCCTGTTGCAAGGTAAAATATTTGTCCCTATCCAACATTCCCTCTTCTTCCAGTGGAAGACCAAACTTCAACCCTTCATTTCGGTTAGGTCACCTTGAAATGTCTATCTATTGTTACAATTATTAATTTGTTCGCGTTCTTAATATGAATGAAATATTTGCAACTGAACGTTAAGCAAGCAGCAATCAAATAACCTTTTCCTTTGTTCGTATGTCATAAAAAAGTTAAACTGAAAATTCGATGACTATGACAAAGAGAGGCGAAAGATACCAAAGGGACATTCAAACTCAAAGTCGAAAATAAACTGACAACGTCATTGCTAATAAAGAAAAAGACAAACAGACAAACAACAATACACAAAACACAACATAGAAAACTAAAGACTAAGCAACACGAACCTCATCAAAGGGTTAAGCATCTAAGAAGTTATATTAAACATCAAAGCAAAAATAAAGCGAAAACACCAACAGATTTAGACTGTTGAATAGTATTTTGCATATAAGTTCATTTAAATATATTTCAAAATATCTTATCTGCGGTATACAAGTAAAACTTTTTATTTTACGCCACTTATGTAAACACTGGGTTGAGCAATGTCACAGTCGACAAATAAAAGGAACATCCCAATATTGAATAATGCTAATTAGAACACTAGATGGTATTGACTTATTGGAATGCTTTCTCGTTATTGTTTACCACAAACATTTCTTTATTCATTTTTAATATAAACATACCTTTTTTATCCTGCACTGCCCGGCGCTCCCCGTTCGACTACAGAGTCTGGAGGACCTTACACTAGAAACAAGAGTTCCACCAACATTATAAAACTTGATTAAAGAAAAAATGCTTTTTGATTGACACACATTATTAAAAAATTAATGCACGTTAGTTTGGACGGAAGAAAGTTTTTCATCAAAATTACAATTAAACATCTAAAAAGATTAGGTGCAGAAATGAAGTCAGGTGTGTCAACATGGCCAGTACCAGTTGATGACATATTAGCACGACCCACCGAGGATACTGTGTACTGTTCATCATTTTATTTTGTTATCATGTTCTTAATGAATAAAGACTTTCTTAATGTCAAAAATCAGTCAATAAAATAACACAAATAAAACATACCACTGAACACTTGCCGTCCAACCCTATCCCTGAACTCGCGTTTCTTCAGTCCATCAAAATTTGAAACAGGTAAAATGAACGATGGACGAGATGCTATACAATCAATCTCATTCTCGTCAACCGCAGAGCCAATGGGGATAACCATGATGGTTACTTCAGAATCTCGCAGATCTTTCGCTGACTCACAAGTTTTATCTTTATCTTGAGATTTTCCGTCAGTCATTACTATGGCGATTTTAGGCACTCCAGTTCTAGCTCCTGTAAAAAATTATATATACTGGTTCAATTAACACTTGATTAAAGTAATACAAACTTCGAAAATTTGAAATTTTTTACGTGACATATGCACACAATTTTACATTTTTGTAAATTTCGGTTTGAATAGTCATAATTCTTCCATTTAAAGAAAAACAAATTGCTATTCATTTTCTTAGAACAGCAAATAGTTTATGAAAGAAACTTTTTATTATTCCATTAGTTTTCCCGGTACTGTAAAGGTCAACCTGACACTTGAACATACACCTTGAAGAACAAGTTTAAAATCATGTTCAATTATATGCATTAAAGAAAATTAAAAAAAGGTGTAACTTTTATCCCTAAATGTACCTTCGTTTAAAGCATTTTACATCTTTTGCCACTTAATATCATTCCTATATTTTTTTATATTAATACCACTTGCACGCCATCCCGAGTTGGTTGACCGTTATTAAATATATCTGTTTCACAGATGAAGACGACGGATATGTTCTAAATGTTGTAACCACAATCCCGTCCTCTTTTCCTCAAATGTGACTTACCGAATTGAACTTATCGAATGTCTCTTGTCAAACTGACAGATGCATGGAGTATAGACCCCCTTTTTTCTATGTTTTTTTTTCTCTCAGTAAATATTCGTTAATATTTAATTTATTTTTACGTATCTAATGAGTTCTTGCTCTTATCCTTACGATATTGAAATACCAGTAGTTTATATATGACGGAAGTAGACGTCAAACGCACGCGCTGTATAACTCCAAAAATGCATGAATTCCGATAAGTTCGAAAGCGCATGCGTTTGACTTATACTTCCGTCATGGGCTTGACGAAAATAAAGTAACCATAAAGATTAAAAATTAGTAATTTCTAGATAGCTGAGTGATTTTACATACCAACCACAAACAGACACAAAAAGGTAAGTCTTTTTTTGAGTTGATATATGTTCTTATTTGAATGATTTAATGGAACTATATGGTGCATAAAATAAGCCAGAGCCAATCTGATCTTCGATATTTAAATTTTCAATCTATCTTGCCTTCTTAAAAATTAAATATGTAAACATAATTGAAAATATTAAAGAATATTTACTAAAAAAAAACCACTCACAAATATTTTTTTTGATATAAGGGCGTCCATGCCCCAAGAGCCTGTGACCTAACACCTATCGGTTCATGTAAATTACCTAACAACAAAACATGACTAATTATAAAGGTTTGTATATACCGGTAATACATAAACAAGGGATAAATGATATCGCCAAAATTAGAATACCACACAGTACAACAGACCTCATCAACCACCAACACCCACTCCTCCGAAAATGTGATGGCGGTCAAACCAGTTTTACGTTCATATACACTCCCTTTGTTAATTTTGACCATATGTCCTAAAACAAAAACACGAATAAAAAACCTACACGGTGCAGCTACCCATACTAGGATATAGTTAAGGATATTTATTACAAGTCGATTACCTACCATAGCTTTTAGAAAAGCTGTTAAGTCGTGCATGGTCTAAGGCAAAATAAGTATTTGTTAAGCTTCCTTTATATTTAGCGATTGTTATTCTCCGTATGAGACAGCTCTCACAGTTGTTGTACTGATTCAGTTTAATTTCTGTCGTCACGGTTGTTGAAAATACATCTAGGCCGAATTGTGTCTTTGTCTTCCCAATAGTAAATAGACGAGTTATAAACCTTGCAAAATTTTTCATAATTTGAAAATTTTCCGTTCCAACACTGGCTGACGAGTCAAGAATGAAAACCACATCTCTCTTTCCTGTAAAATCTGAAATTGAATGACATAGTATTGTAAAACCTTATAGCTATAGATATGTATGATATGTATTGATTGTTACATTCTTGACATATAGATATACAATAAAAGTACATTGTCGGAAAATATAAAATTTATTTGTATGAGCTTTAGAAACAGGACGAAAAGCGAGGCTCGCCGAGCTTTTCTCCTGTGTCGCAGCGAGTACAAATAAATTTCATATTTTCCGACAATGTACATTGTACATATATTGTTTTTATTCTCAAATTTACACCCAACACTTGAAACTTTAGTTGTTAAAATCTAAATCAATGTCTCTAATTTTTCAAAGAAATCGACATAGTTTAAACGCGGACCGCGAAGAGGACCCCAAAATGAACTGGTACGCAAAAAGAAATATCCACATTACCGCTTGCTCAACATGGAAGAGGGGTAACAGGAGACTTTATTTGTACAAGAACAAATACAGCAAAAATTTATTTGTGTACCTATTATTTGTACAATTATAGTTGGCTGATTGCAGGATAAAGTTTTTAACATTTGTTTTATGTTTGTGTGTTCAACTTTATGTCAGCCAGATTTATTTCATTGAAACATTTTACTATTACATTTTATATAATATCATACATTGTTGATTACTAAACTATCGTCATAAATACGTTTGTTAAATATAATGTTTTTTAATCTTATATTTACATTATATAAATGTTTATAAGAATTCGTAATTTTGATTGGCAGAAAAAAATCGTGAGGCATTTCAAAATTTTATTTTAATTTCTAACATGTCTAATGAAATGCAGATTCTATGACTGCACCTGTTTTACTTAACACCGTTTCAATAATGCATAGGAAAACAAACGAAAATTTAAAATAAGAAGATGTGGTATGATTGCCAAGGAGACAACTCTCCAAAAGAGACCAAATGACACAGAAATTAACAACTATAGGTCACCGTACGGCCTTCAACAATGAATAAAACCCATACCACATAGTCAGCTGTAAAAGGCCCCGAAATGACAAATGTAAAACAATTCAAACGAGGAAACTAACGGCCTGATTTGTGTACAAAATAATGAACGAAATACAAATACAATATACAGCAAATGGCACAGAAATTAACAACTATAGGTCACCGTACGGCCTTCAACAATGAGTAAAACCCATACCACATAGTCAGCTGTAAAAGGCCCCGAAATGACAAATGTAAAACAATTCAAACGAGGAAACTAACGGTCTGATTTGTGTACAAAATAATGAACGAAAAACAAATACGATATACAGCAACAAACGACAACCACTGAATTACAGGCTCCTGACTTAGGACAGGGTTAAACATGTTAGCAGAAGCCCAACCCTCCCCTAACTTGGGAAAGTGGTGTAACAGTGCAACATATGAACAAACTATAAAAATCAGTTGAAAAGGGCTTAACTCATCAGAACGATACAAAGCACAAAAACAAGTAACAAAAACACAGAGTCGACGTGGCAGGGTACTTATACATCCCCACAAATAAAAGACACTAAGTACAAATCTGAGAGTACTCGCAGTTACTGACAGCTAGTTTAAAGCTGATTACAACTAATAAAAAAATCATGCGTCTAAGACTAAAATATCAATCAGTACACATCCAACATCCAATGGATTTAGTGTAAGGACGTCATTAACAGTCAGAGAAAAACATGACCTTGTGCAATGCCAAGATACAGATATCGACTGATTGTTGAGCTATGAATGTGCATATGTATAGAAACATGATATTTAGTTTGATTTTAATTTACTGAAATCTAAATCAATATTAATACAAATAAAAACAATATTCAAAGATCTAATTATAGTGTTTAATTGGTAACCTTTTAGAATAAGTTTATTTGAAGGATCGATAATATCTATGAGATAATTTGGTAAAGGTTTTAAGTAATTTGTGATTACGAAATCCCTGACTTAATAATTTACCAGTAATACATAAATTACGTTCATTGAAATCCAAAACGTCACAACAGACACGGGCATTACGAACGACTTGTGATATATAAACACTGCACTAAGATGGTGCCAAAGGAACATCACCGTTCAAAAAAGGAAAATTAACAATAGGGAACCAAATTTGTCCCTTTTGTCGTAAATTTTAGTGTAGAGTTTCCCGTGTAAAACTGAAATATCTAAATCTAGGAAAGGACTCTGTTGTCAGTTATTCACGGGAATTATTGCTTTCATCAATATCAAGTGAACATCTATTAGTCAATAACGGATTTTTTTAAAAGAAACTCGTTCATTCTTTTCGGGAAAGCGAGTTACAAAAAGTAGAATGCTGCTTTGATTGACTTAAATCATATAGTAACTTTCAACGGTGTAGTTATGCCTCTTTTATATATATATATATTTTTCAATAAATACTTACTTTGTAATGGTATTTCTACAGAACCGCCCTCGGTTAAGGTAACGGCTACTAGTAATATAAGTAGCCTTGCTAATAATATAGTCATATTTCTCATGTTTCTGGAAATATCAAGATGGATTTTATATCAGAAATCGATAAACTATATATATAAAAAAGAATAATCAAATAAATTAAATGATAAAATCACACATTATACGATACTAATACAGCTTTTCGGCTGGTGGACTTATTCTGCAAGACAGGAAAAAGATAGTGAAGATTGCACTTTCCGATTTACATCTTTTATTCATATCTCTTTTTGTTTACCGTCTACCAAAAACAGATAAAGTTAGAAATAAGAATTGTTTAATGTCCGCTTAATTCATCCTAATATTAGACGTGTTACGAAATGGTATATACTCGAAGATGAGGTTGACAAATTAGACTTTAAATGGGGGTATCGTATCAAAACACAAAAGTGATTAAAAGAGTTAAATTACCTGTGTACCAATTCAATCTTGTGTTTAAACTGCATAGTACTGATGAAAATTTGTTTTCTAGGTTGCTTAACTGCATCGTGCAATGATGATAGAGTAAAAACTATTATATTCTAGACACTGAAAATGTTCGTTGTGCCTGTCCGAAATAGCAAACCCTATCAAACTACGTAATTTTCTTGTAAAAATGGACACGTTGCAGTTACATGCACTAGAATGTTGTATTTGACAAAACCTTTCGGAATTTAGGGTCCTCAATGCTCTTTAACTTAGTTCTTTATTTGGACTTTTTAACTTTTTTGATTCAAACATCAATAATATGACTTTTGTTGACAAAACGCGCGTCTGGCGTACACACTTTAAGCCTGTTTTCTATGATGAGTTTATGAACAACCATCAATATCCCAGTAGTAAGCACTTCTGCGTAGGCATGAGTTATCACTGATATTGTCATAATTATGAATTAACTGTTTAAAAAACGTTCCATTTGTCGAAATACTACGGGTTTTCTACCCCAGGAATAGTTAACCGTAGTTGTATTTGGCAAAACCTTTCGAAATGTTGGGTCCTCAATGCTCTTCAACTTAGTGCTTTATTTGACCCTTTTAACGTTTTTGATTCGATCATCCCCGATGAGTCTTTTGTAGACGAAACGTACGTCAGGCGTACAACAGTTTAAGCCTGATGTCTATGAGGAGTTTATTTACAACATAGTCTTTATATTTTGATTTGAAAATTCTAACAATTCGCAATAATTTTAGTTATAATTAGACTTCCTAAATAGTTTAACTAATACATGTAGAATAAATTGCTAAAAAGAACAAAAATTACTGTGTAGGTGTCATACCAAAATTTCAACCCATCATCACCAAGAACGTTTTGTAAAAAAAGCCAACCTCTGACAAAACATACCATTTTTTATATTTCTGCGTTAAGCCCTCTGTTGCAGACCCAGAATAAAGAAGATCCCTTTTAACTTTATCAAAAAAAAAAAAAAATAAAAAATAGGAACATCTATTTTCTATAAAGGCTGGGCAGATAAAGGGATCTTTTTGATAAATGATCTATTAAACGATGAGAGAAAACTAACGACTTTTCAACAATTCTAAAACATTAATAAAATTAAGTCAAACTTTCTAACTTATAATGGGATAATTTCATCAATAAAATCATATAAAAAAGCTCTCAAGAAAGATATATCAATAAACAATCTTAATAAAACACAAGGAACAATTATTCCAAAAAATATAAGAAAATATAAATACAAAAAAGGCTCGAAAGATATGTATAATGTTCTATTAGAAAAAAACAGTACTAAACTTAACTGTGAAGACAAAAGGTTCTTAACACTGAACAAAAATTTTGATTGGAAAACCGTGCATAGTACTAATAGTATGTCTTTTTACGCCACAAAGAGCGTCTGTACTGTATTCCTGTCACGTAGTATTGTCATGTTAGCGGTATTTGTAACATTGTCATATAAGCGGGAGGTTTGGCTAGCCATAAAACCAGTTTCAACCCACCATTTGTTCTAAAAATGTCCTGTACCAAGTCAGGAATATGGCAGTTGTTATCAGACAGTCCGTTTCCCTCGGTTTTTGTTTGTTACCCGGATTTTTTTTTTGCTTAATCGAATTATGACTATTGAACAGCGGTATACTACTGTTGCCTTTATTTAAGGTTTATTGACTTGTATGATGAAATAAGTAATACAGTTGATGATGTATCAAGCATATTAGTATCACAGTTAACGATGTATCGAGCATATAAGTTTCACCGTTGATGATGTATCGAGCATATAAATTACACGGTTAATGGATCGAGGGTAAACGCGTCATAATTCATGTATCGAACATTTAAGTAACATAATGTATGATGATTCAATCCATTACATAATATAGTTCTGATATATATATTAAGTAGCAGAGTTTTTGTATCGAGCATATATTAAGTAACACGTTTGATGTATCGAGTAAGAACGGCTTACCCTTCCAGTGGCCATGAATTTACAACGGGATTTAGCAGATGTTACTTTCGATAAATTGGTTGTAATATATTGTTTGCGTTTTTGATACAATTGATTGTTTTCTTTTTCTTATTATGACGATTTGTGAATTAATTGAATGTTGGGTCAGGTCAAGACTAGATAAACGACCCTACATGGTAACATAAATACATTGCAACTTTTTAGTGTTATGTTGAAATATGTTTTAATTTATAGCCTCGCTAAAGTAAATGTTTGCTTAAAAGTATATGAAGATATATACCAATGAAACATAGTTCAAAGGATACATCATAAAATCATTCCAGAGTCCATTCTGTGCATTACTAATTGATAATATAAAAATATGATGATGTGGTATGATTGCCAATGAGACAACTATTCACTAAAGTCCAAATGAAGTACATGTAGATGTAAGCAATTATATAAAAATAAGGAGATGTGGTATGATGGCCAATGAGACAGCCATCCACAAAAGTTCAAATGAAGTGGATGTAGGCAATTATAGGCACCAGTACGGCTTTCAATCCGGAGAAAAACCCATACCGTATAGTCGGCTATAAAAGGTTCCCAACATGAAAATATGAAACAATTCAATTGAGAAAACTAACGGCCTAATATATAACAAAACAATTTACGAAAAACAAATATGACAGACATGAACCAACGACAACCACTGAACTACAGGCTCCTGACTTGGGACAAGCACATAAAGCATGTGGTGGGATTAAACATGTTTGTGAGCGTTCAACCCTCCCTTAACCTGGGACAGTGGCGGTACAGCACAAAATAAGCAAAAACTATAAAAATCAGTTGAAAAGGGCTTAACTCATTAGATCGATACAAAGCAGAAAATCATCTAACAAAAACAAACTGGCCGCGGCAGGGTATTTATTCATCCCTAACAACAAAAAAGACACAAAGTACAAATCTGAGAGTACTCGCAGTTACTGACAGTTAGTTCAAAGCCAATAATAACTATTAAAAAAATCATGTATCTAAGGCTAAAATATCAATCAATACAAATAAAACACCCAATGAATTTAGTGTTAAGACGTCATTTACAGTCAGATAAAAACATGACCTTATGCAATATAGGTATCGACAGATTTTAGTACCGTGAAAGTGCATATTTGTATAACAATAATATTTAGTATGGTTTTAATTTTTCTGATAATAAAATCAATATTTATACCATTAAAAACGATTTTCACTGATTTAATCACAGTGTTGAATTGATAACCTTTTATAATAAGTTTATTTAAAGGATTGATAAGTTTACCCGGATAGTATCTACATTTCCGGGCTCAGAAAAGAACATCACCGTAAAATGTAGGATATCACCGTAAAATGTAGGATGTGCTATTCCGTTTGAAATAAGTTTTCTACAGATAAAACCAAACTGGCAAACCAAATCTTTGTATCTATGGAAGAATTTAGTTCAGGTTTTAAGTAAATTGTGGTACCGAAATCCTTGACTTAATAATTTACCAGTAATACATAGAATGCGTTCATTGAAATCCAAAACGTCACTACAGACACGGGCATAGCGATCGAGTTGGGATATATAAACAACATAAGACGGTGCCAAAGGAACATCATCGTCCAAAAAATGAAAATTAACAATAGGGAAAGTAAAATTGTCCCTTTTGTCGTAAATCTTTGTGTATAGTTTCTGTTGTAAAACGCAGACCTGCCAACTATCCCGATTTTGGCGGTATTATCCCGATTTTCATGCCTCAACCCGAATCCCGATATCGGGTTCCTAAAACAAGCAAAAAACCCGATTTCCATAAATTCTACCCGAGAAAATTTTGTTCTTACCGATTTCCGGTAATGGAGGACAACATAGAGATATTATCCAATCAAATTCATCGTAGTATCTGATATTCGGGTCATGTTGATTTACCTGAGGATTATCGATCTGTTTTGACACTAAGTATTATGTAAACATATACACGTGCCTCAATAAAATCAATGATTTGTCAAAGTTTTATGGGTCTTAATTGGTAATAAAATTATTGATCTTTGTTATTTATACCGATCAGCTTGGGAGTTACATAATTAACTGTTTTAATTTTTTTACTTATCATTTAATTGAGATTAATTATATTATAATCAAGTTAACTAGTTAAAAAAATTCTTTAATCAGGTGAACATAGTTAATAATTATCTTAATTATAACTGATCAAAGGAATTTTGCAAATTAAACGTAAAGGCTTGGATGCTGTTTGCACATTGAGACAATTGTTATAAAAGGATATGAAAAATGGAATTGAATCATAACAGTTCAAACTATCACAATGGTTGTTACTCCACCCAGCAAGAAGAAACGTTTGCCATGCCGTTTTCTTGAAAAATGGCAGAATGACCTGAAGTTTTCAGGATGGTTGACCAAGTCCAACACAGGAGACTCCCATGCTTACTGCAAATTATGTAATAAAGACTTCAGAATAGACCACGGTGGCCTTAATGATGTTAATAAACACACCAACACAGCAATGCACATTAAGAACCTACAAGCACAGAACAGTACCAAGTCTGCCTCCAACTTCTTCACCCGCCCAGATGATTTCCAGTACTTGTACCATCTACCCAGTTTGCAGCATTGGAAGAAGAGTTCATTGACTACCAGGTGACACCAGCTGATGAGCTACCCAAGTTTGACTCAGATACCAGAGTAGACTCCTACTGGGCTGCAGTTTCAGCAATGACAAACAAGATCACAAGAACAGCAAGATTTCCACTACTAACAAGAGTTACCAGAGCAATGTGTTGTATACCCAACTCCAATGCAGATTGTGAGAGAGTCTTCAGTATGGTCAAGAAGATACACACAGAACACAGGTCATCACTGGACAACTCAACACTCTGTGACCTACTTACCACTAAGATCAACTCAGACTGTGCATGCTACCAGCTAAAACCAGACAAAGACTTGTTGAAGACAGCTAAGAAAGCATGTGTTGCTTACAACAAAGACTGTGGAAATTAGTGCCAAATGACAATTTTATAGTGCTGACAATTTTAAGTGATGATAATGTAACTTAGTGCTTTCTACTTAGTGCAAAATGAACATTAGTAGCTTTTATGTTTTTTTGCTCCTTGTGTATTATTGTTTTGTATTGTTTTGTATTGTTTTTATCTCCTTTAAATGCTACTGAATAAATATTATTAATATGACATTTACCTTGTTTATCTTTTCATGACATAGTTTGCAATGTATGCATTAATGAAGCAACCAAGTCATTGTTTATCAATTTATTTTAAATAGATACAGTGAAAATACAAATAAAACACTGAAATAAATCAAATATAACACTGAAATAAAACAAATAAAACAAACGAACCAAATGAAAGCAACATCTTTACACAGAATGATACACACAGCATCAAAACAATCTCAAGAGTTAAAAAAAAAAAACCAAAATTGATCCTAAATATACATGAAATACTTTCTACTGGACATTATAAAAAAAAAACCAGTCACAAGATGAAGCGATACATTTAAATTTTTTTCCCCGGGGAAAATCCCCCATGGAGGTTTTCAAAAGTTGGCAGGTCTGAAAACGGACATATCAGAATCTAGGAAAGGACATATATTGCTGTTAATATTTGATTTATTTAAAGTAAGTTCATTTCGGTAAATTTCGGCAGTATATTTAGAGAATTCTTGATTATTTAATGAAAAAAACATCATCAAGATAACGGTAAGTGTTGTTGAATTAACAATTACACAGAATTTAGACGGGTCTTTACTGAGTTTGGCCATAAACTGTGATTCATAACAGAACACGAACAAGTCTGCTATTAAAGGGGCACAATTGGTGCCCATAGGAATAACTACAACCTGTCGATAAACTTTATTGCCGAAACGTACATTAATGTTGTCAAGGTGTAAATTTACGGCTTAAATAATCTCATCACATCTCCAGTAGGTATATCTAGTACATTTCATTTACTCATTTGTGAAAAAAGCTTCATATAAGTTGCAACAAATAAATTTGCTATCAGATTTATCAAACGACCATTTGATTAAATGGGAAAACTTTTGTCTGATAAGATTGTGTGGAAGTGTAGTATAAAGAGTGAAAAAGTCAAAACTGTCAACCGAATCAAAAGAACCATCAAAAGCACGTAATCTATCTAAAACATCTCAAGAATTTTTTACACTCCAAAAATGGTTAAATTCACTATTTGCATATGCTTTATTAAAAAAATTAATGATAAGTTCTTTGATAGTAGTTTAGGAATCATTAAATGTACTAAATGATTAGTAGTAGAACACCTACTAAAGGCCGAGATGAAACGATATTTTACGGTTTTTTGTTTAGTTTAGGTAACTAATACATTGTGGGGACTTTCAAATGTTCAGGGGAGGCCTTAAGCTGAGCTGTGGTAGTGACATGAATATTTAATATATAACTCTCTGTGGAGCGTACGGCATTGAATGTAATTGAATGTATAACTTCATTCTGAAAGACTTCCGTGTAGTACTTATGTCATACCGCCACACATTGTTGGCTGCTTTGTTGGCCGGTACGAACACAAAACGCTTTGCGAGTACTTAGTTTTTAGACAACCGTATGGCATTTAACAAGGATAAACCTTTACCGTAAAGTCGGCTATAAAAGATCCCTACATGAAAAATAGGAAATAATTCAAATGAGAAAACTAACGGCTTACCTTATAACAAAATGATCTACGAAAAACAAATATGACAGACGTGAACCAACGACAACCACTGAATACAGAATTCTGACTTGGGACAGGCACATATAGAATGTGGCGGTGTTAAATAAATTGTCCTTCAAATTAATTTTCGTAAATAGAACAAATAGGATTACTTCTAGGCTCCATAAAAAATACTTTAAGATGTTATAAGTTAATATTGAATTAATGTGTATCCCCATCAAACATATAAGATAATTACAACTTAAAATTTGGTATTGCACGGGAAAATCAAATGACATTCGTTAATAGTACAACCTTTGAAGGAATGACAACAGTAATAATTTATACCGTGCTAATTTCGGTAATTTTGGAAATAGGAACGTACCAGTAAATACAAAATGTATATTATTAATGGCCTTATTTAATAGCAAAGTATTGAGTTAAAAGTAAATCATATGGTGTCAAACTTCTTATTTATGTAACAAGATCATGCTTTTATTTAATTAACAGCTTTTAGCTTTTTTAATAGTCTCTCCATAATTCTCACTTATATTAATAAACCGACTTTAACAGGGCAATGGTGACCATTCTAAAAACATTTGTATCATCATACTTATTATATATATATTAATTAAAACAAAGTTGTAAAAATGGCGATATTTTACTTAATGTTCTGAGTAACATAAATAAATTTCACAAAATGTAACGATAACGTACATTATCCTACCCATTTTGCCTTCGATCATAAATGCAATGTATATATAACTACATCATTATGTTATACTGATAATAGTGTAAATGGTATATACACAAATTCTTACCCTTGTTCTTGACGTTAATGTGACAAATTATAGAAAAATATCCTGGAGGTTATCCTCTTCCAACAAAACAAATATTTAGATACATATTCTTAAATAGGTACAGAACTCACAGCTGTTGATTTGTTAAAACAAAAGCCGTGTTAAGATCGTTTTAATTATTATAAAATGTGTTTACTAACTACTTAAAATCGTTTCCTTTCCTTGCAAAACTAATCGTTTTAGAAGCATGATTAAGCAACAGATACGCCGTGCGCAGTTTTCTGTTCCCTCACAGGATTACGAACATGGTTAAGCATATATAAAAATTTGTGTGTACGTGCTTTTATAGGTTTTAAGTTCTTTTTATGTACTTTTTCAGTTTTCGAGAAAATTCTTTTTTCATTATTATTTAATAATGATTGCGGAATATCATAATAAACACAAAATTACAAAGTATATAGAAATCCATTTGTATTTACGGTACGATGTATCGAATTTAGTTGCTGATTTTTTTTTTTAATCTGATGAATTTTGAATGTTATGTGGAACTTTTGAGCTATCAACGTCATTCAGTTTACGTATATTCCGTAAATGAGCTCTGTCCAAAACAAATTTTTTAAATCAATGAAAAAAATCTAATTTCCTGGTTGCAATACAATTTAATATGACTATGAAGAACAATAATTGTCTAGGACCAAATATAAATGAATAGTTTTGCATGCAGCATTAGTAAAGGAGAGGCGAAGGATACAAAGGGAAATTCAAACTCATAAGTCGAAAATAACGCCATGGCTAAAAAAAAAAGACAAACAGAAAATCAACAGAACACAACACAACATAGAAAACCATAGACTGAGCAACACGAACACCACTAACAACTGGGGGTGATCTGAGGTAATCCGAAAGGGTAAGCAGATCCTGCTCCACATGTGGCACCCGTCGTGTTGCTCATGTAAGCTATTTATACTGAACATGTTTGAAACTATTATAATATGTCATGTTTATCTTAGTCGATGATCAAATATTTCAATGGCAGAAAATCCACTAAAGTTCAAAAATTTCGCTTGCGGTCAGTTTAGATCTAAGGCTAGATGTTCCGTAAACATTATACTATAATTTTGACCCTTTCATAGAGTTTTACTTTTATAGACATTTTGGGCCAATGAGATGCATACAGTTTTTAAACTAACTATTATGGAATAATATTCCACAATACATGAAATATCAGAGAAAATTTAAACTCTACATCACCATCTTTCCTAAAATCACAATTTCAAAAGCGATTATACAAGTGTTTAGAGTTTATAATAATCACAAAAATAATTATAAATTTAATAATTAAAACATAACTCTTTGTTTTCTTCTATGTTTTGGAATTTTATTTAAGGAATTACTGTAGTATTTTTTCTGTCTACGAAGAAATAACATCAAAAATGTGGTGCACACTGAATAACCCGCGTAGGAATTGTCGTTCCTTATAATTTAATTCTAAAAAGGCGTAAATCATGATAAAAACGTTGTTGACGTCACGGTCACATGACAAAATTATGTCTATGAGCTGATAGACAAAACACTTTCAGCCAATCAGAAGACGTATTACATCCAAAATTTAATTATTTTAATATATCTTAAAGTAACTTTTACTACGAGTTTAAACCATCGGTAAACTACCTTCGCCTATCTTGTATAAGTCTGTACAAAATGCGATTCCGATAGTCCTTCATTATAAACAAAATCAGACGGTAAAACATGTCGGTATATCAGCAATCAAACAACAAACTATAACCAAATAATAAAAATATCGAGGTCAAAATACGTCCTCTTCTCTTAAAACACACAGGCGCTAACATCGAGTTAAAGCTCCTAGACAAACACATGTGAACAAGTGGTGAACAAATTCAATAGATGGATGAACATAAAAAAAACACAAACCAACAGAAATATATTAACAGAACAAAACAAAATTTTGTCAAATTACAATTTTCAAAAAGAGACAGAAACCGAGCGTACATAGGTTCTGCGAATGGTAAACAGTTCCTGCACCACTGGTGGGACCCAATGTGTTAATCGTGACAATTAAAACTCGGGAGATAAATGAAGAACGAAGAACGCAGAAAACAGATAATACATAATACATATTCAGTTGTTAAGCAAACAACAAATAATTAATCAATCAAATGCTTCAGAATGATTTCCTAAAGCTACGTCATAAATGCTGCAAGAAAACAATAACCTTGTCCAATGTTCCTAAGCATGATCGGGGAACAATCTCTGGACGGAATTATTTCAAATAAGCAAGCTTATTTTAATTTTCTAGCACTAGGTTGATACCAATGTTGGTTGGATCTAGTCCTTGGAGTATAATCAGCCCAGTTGTCAGTGCTTCGTTTTTTGCCTTCGCATTGTCAGTTTGTTTTCGATTAATGAATTTGAATATCCCTTTGGTATCTTCGGCCTCTCTTTTATGGCATATCTTTCTTAAAATTCATGTTGATAATTTAGAAATCATTTAGAATTTAATGTTCCATCTCCCTAAGACAAAGCTGACCTTAGGTAGATTTGGTTATTCTTTTTCTTATGACCATATTGCTCCTCAAGTTTTCAAGTAAATACACATATATTACTTTCAATGTTAGGGTTGGAGCGTTCCTCATGAAGGTAAATCCGGACACACCAAATTTTGTGTTATTGTGATTTTTAAGTACTTTGAGCTTGCTTTTAGTAACTGGAAGCATTCTTTGTCATGTTTTTGTTATGTTTTAGTGGTATTGTGCTGATGTCTCTTTGACGTATACCTTATTTCATGAATTGTAAATACAAATGCACACAAAAAGTTTGCAATAAATAATGATAAAGCTGGAATCACAAATCTTGAAAAAGACAGAAAATAAATTTCAGTGCGTAAATTTTTTTATATATAGCTATATATAGCTATAAATATAGTGTATATATTTCTCAAAATTAAAAGTTCGGCATACTCTTTTAGTTTAAAGTATTGTTTTTCATCAATTTTGCCTATTCAACAACATTATACTAGTTCTAAAAAATAGTAAGGGATAAACGTTAAATCAAACATGATATTTTCTTAAAGAGGACAAAGAAAAAAATATTTAGTCGAAATTTTTTTCATTATATTTCGTTTATATTTTCTAGACAAATTGTTTAAAAAACTCCTTTATCATTCGAGCAAAAACAGATATTTTAGGTGTTCTCAGGATGTGATGTTTGAAAGTTTTACAATAGGATGTAAAGGAATATAAATCTCATCAAAACACCTAACTGGAAAGGTAGTCCACTCAGTCAAAGTGTATTGTCTAAATCTTCCCATTAACAAAACAGTGGTTACTGGGCCGATATTATCTTTTTCGACAATAAAGTAGCAGTAGCACCGCCCAATGGAGGTAATTTTAAGCTATGATAATGATTACAGTGTGTTTGAAATAACTTTTATCAGGTCACGGCTGTGATAGCTAAAATTTATTTAGGAAAAGTATGTTCGAGCATTAAAAGGACCTAAACAGAATGGTAATAAAAGCTTTAAACAAAACAAAATGTCTGATCTAAGTCTTTTTATTTAGAACAAATTTCGGCATTGTATGTTTACCCGAACATTTATCTATAATTCGTGATTTTAATTTATAAAACAATAGGGTGGATTCAAAAATGTATTTACCCAAAAATGTTATTTTTACCGAGGTGGTTCAATTAATTTTTTTTCTCCTTTGATTAATGAACTTGTTTTATGGGGCATTAGCTTTCAAATTCATGTTCACCGATTTGACTCAAATTTTTACCTTTAATTTATAACATACTTAAACGTTAATCCACATTACAAACAGTCTAATAAAATAAACAATTAACAATGCATAAAATAACTAATATGCATTTTGTGTGTATTTCAATCTAGACGCCATCTAATTAACCACCGAGATGACTGCCGAAGGTCATATAACCCAATATAAACGTAAATATAGCGAGCACGTGTGATTGGATTTGTCTAGGTCTGTTTGATTTCATATTATAGGTTAGAAATATGTTAATCATTGTTTTTACCTGTTTAAGAATTGGGTTTTGAGGATCGAATCAGTGAACCAAATGGTTTATCTCTGTTTCACTTTCAATGTTGACATTCTTTTTCTTTAAACACGCCTAGTACATGCGTAACCCATGTCCAGCTACGGGTTTAAATTGAAAATCTTATGGATATATATTCAATGAGGTTAAATTATTGACTTGCAAGTCAATAATACATCAGCGCTGTTTTTGAGCTTAATTTTGTCAAATTTGATTGCTTATAACGAAATGTTTCAAAATTCTTCTTTTATTATTGCTTGGAACAAAAAGAATCATATTTAAAATTTTTGGATAAATCGTAGATACTGCTCCTGTAAGGAGAGAATATGCATGATTTTTCAGCTGCAGATTATACCTTTAAATAAAATTGTACTTGGTCAAGTAAATACTTTCTTTTGCTTTTAATCCGATTAATGCAGAGATATTTTATGATTGAAAGCATTTAATGTGGTGTATGTACGGTCATGTAAAATAAGTAGCAGTATTATATAAGTTGACTGAGAAAAGGCATTTCAATAATGCTCAGAAAGGGGATAAATATAGTGTATATATTTCTCAACATTAAATGTTCGGCATACTCTTTTATTTTAAAGTATTGTTTTTCATCAATTTTACCTATTCAACAACATTTTGTTCCACTTTCCCCAATTGCTACAATTATTCTTATCTTTTTCTTCATTTCAACAACGTTCAATCCTATTTCCCCCAGGTACCACAACATTGCCACGTTCACATGAGGAAGTATGGTATTAAAAATTTCGAAATGAGATTACATAAGATATGCATAATCGGAAATGTACATGCATTTATAAATGGCTTTACATATAATTCAGCAGAAAAAAATAATTACATAATAAGTTCAAAAAGTAAAAAAAAAAAGTATTTAATTCTATAACTTCTCAATCTTTAAACAATAAGTAGCCAGGTAAGTTAGCTAGACAAGTTGCCTGATCTTGAATTTTGTTTGTATTACAATGTACAAAAAATCTTATG